ATTATTTTTAATAAATCCACGCCTTGGTAGAGCCTCTATGGAGCCTTGAAAAATTATTTTTAATAAATCCACGCCTTGGTAGAGCCTCTATGGAGCCTTGAAAAATTATTTTTAATAAATCCACGCCTTGGTAGAGCCTCTATGGAGCCTTGAAAAATTATTTTTAATAAATCCACGCCTTGGTAGAGCCTCTATGGAGCCTTGAAAAATTATTTTTAATAAATCCACGCCTTGGTAGAGCCTCTATGGAGCCTTGAAAAATTATTTTTAATAAATCCACGCCTTGGTAGAGCCTCTATGGAGCCTTGAAAATCGTTTTTAATAAATCCACGCCTCAAAAAATATTTTTTAAATAATTCTTTACCTTGATATGGCCTTGAATAAATATTTTTTTATTTATTTTTTTTATTAATTTTCTTATCTATCTCTTATCCGCCAACATTATCCAGACCCTTTTGCAAGTAGTCATTTCAAAAAAAGGGTTCAATTAAATCCATTTTTTATTTTAGATAAGGCTATTTAATCTGTCTATCCTATGAGACTATTTACATTCCAATATCTCTCCACTCTTATCGCGATCAGTATTTTTCCCCGACTACGACATTCCTTTTATATGACGCACTCAATTAATGATCCATCCATCCATCCAATACACACACACAATCACACCTCTTAACACAAAAATTCCTCCTTGGATTATAAAATGTTGGAGATAACAAATTCCTTACTGTGATTAGTTTCCTTACTCTCTCCCTCTCCGCCTCACTCTCTACCTTAACCGCAATGATTTATGGGTTTATCTGTGTTCTTCTCAAGTTGTTGTTTGGTTCTGTTCGGTTTTGTTTTGCTTTTTTTTATGGTAAAATGGCTTAAAACTCGTTTTCGTATTTTGTAAACAATGGCATGCCTGGCCATGGTAGGCCTTTGTTTGTGTGTGTGAATGTTTACACACTTTCTTTGGAATTTTCTGTTGTTATTTTTGTTTTCCTTTTTTTGCGTGGACATTTTTCCCGATATGATTCATACCATACAACCAGCAGCAACAGGAGCAACAAAATGCCAGCAATCTGGCAACATTGTTGTTTGTTTTGGTCTGATTGCCATTCATGGTGGTGCAAGATATGATCAATACCATTCTTTCCCCTTTTTCCTTGTTGTTATCTCAACTCTCTCCCTCTCTTGTTGAGAATTTAACAAATCTTTCACCACCAACCACAACAGTTCACCAGCACACTGCTCTCCTCCCCTATTGGCACTTGCACAAGAACCTTTATAAGGTAAACATCGTCTTTGCCTGGTGTGTGTTTGTGTTAAAAACAAAACAAGAAGACAAAGAAGGAAAACAATATTTCACAGAAGAAGAGGAAGATACAGAAAATAATTAATTATTTTGTGTGTGTGTGTGTTTTTTTTTAATAAATTATTCTACCTGTGAAATAAAATATGTTTTAACTGTAGTGAGTGTCATTGAAAGGGAATGCACGATCTTGTTCGCACAAGAAATTAATAACAAAGAGAGCGGAGAGCAAAATCCTTCCACTGCTTGAATTAGTGTTTTACTATGTATGTTGTTTCTTAATGGATTTCTAAAGAATTTCTTAATGGTTTCTATTTCGAGGATTAAAAATGAAGAGTGGAATTATAAAGAAAAAAAAAATAATAAATACAAATATTTTTAAGGACTAACAGAGTAAGAAAAATAGTAAAAATATTAAAAAATTTTAAAAATAAATGTTCAAGGCTCCAAGGAGGCCTGGATTTATTAAAAATAATTTTTTAATGGCCTACAGAGGCTCGATATAGGCGTGGATTTATTAAAAATAATTTTTCAAAGGCCTACTGAGGCTCGATAGAGGCGTGGATTTATTAAAAATAATTTTTCAAGGTCCTAAAGAGGCTCGATAGAGGCGTGGATTTATTAAAAATAATTTTTCAAGGTCCTAAAGAGGCTCGATAGAGGCGTGGATTTATTAAAAATAATTTTTCAAGGTCCTACAGATCATTTTTAGAGGTTCTATAGAGGCGTGGATTTATTAAAAATAATTTTTCAAGGTCCTACAGATCATTTTTAGAGGTTCTATAGAGGCGTGGATTTATTAAAAATAATTTTTCAAGGTCCTACAGATCATTTTTAGAGGTTCTATAGAGGCGTGGATTTATTAAAAATAATTTTTCAAGGTCCTACAGATCATTTTTAGAGGTTCTATAGAGGCGTGGATTTATTAAAAATAATTTTTCAAGGTCCTACAGATCATTTTTAGAGGTTCTATAACTGAGGCGTGGATTTATTAAAAATAATTTTTCAAGGTCCTACAGATCATTTTTAAAGGTATTTTATAGAATTAAAAATAATTTTTCAAGGTCCTACAGATCGTATTTTTAGAGGTTCTATAGAGGCGTGGATTTATTAAAAATAATTTTTCAAGGTCCTACAGATCATTTTTAGAGGTTTTTTCAAGGGCCAACTGGCGTGGATTTATTAAAGAATATTTTTCAAGGGCCAACTGAGGCGTGGATTTATTAAAAATATTTTTCAAGGGCCAACTGAGGCGTGGATTTATTTAAGAATATTTTTTAAGGGCCAACTGAGGCGTGGATTTATTAAAGAATATTTTTCAAGGGCCAACTGAGGCGTGGATTTATTAAAGAAAATTTTTCAAGGGCCAACTGAGGCAATAATTTATAGAAAAATATTTTTATGGCTCCAACTGAGGCGATCATTTATCAATATATAGCCTTTCAAGGGCCAATATACGTGGATTTATTACACAATAAAAATCAATCATTTGAAATTTCTATATGATTAATTATTAATTTTGAAATCTACAAAAATACACACACAAAAACATATTTCAGCCAATAATAATCCATGTAAATTTTTTTTTCTCAAAAATTCTCAGTTTAATTTTGTTTGATAATCTACAAGAAATAATAATAATTGTGATTATAAAGACACTTTGTTGTTGTCGACTCATTAATAAATAAATTTCAAGGGCCAACTACGTGGATTTTTGCTTTGATTTTTGGGCCAATAAAAAAGCTGGATTTAAATATTCATATTTTTCAAGGGCCAAACAATCCATTCTCTCTGGATTTATTTTTTTTCAAGGGCCAACTGAGGCGTGGATTTATTAAAAAAAATTTTTTTTGGGCCAAGAGATGCGTGGATTTATTAACGATTAAATTTTAAGGGCCAACTGAGGCGTGGATTTATTTCAATAGAATATTTTTCAAGGGCCAACTGACCCCTTTTTATTTAAAGAATATTTTTCAAGGGCCAACTTGGCGTGGTTTATCTCTCTTTTTCAAGGGCCAACTGAATTTATTGAATTTCCTCTTAGGCAACAAATTTACATGTATTATTAATTTGTTGTGAATATTTGTATATGTGTGTATGTGTTTGTCTGTTGTCAGTGAACATTTTTCAAGGGCCAACTGAGGCTCTGGATTTATTAAAGAATATTTTTCAAGGGCCAAAATAGGCGGGGATTTATTAAAGAATATTTTTCAAGGGCCAACTGAGGCGTGGATGTATTAAAGAATATTTTTCAAGGGCCAACTGAGGCGTGGATTTATTAAAGGATTTATTTTATAATATTTTTCAAGGGCCAACTGAGGCGTGGATTTATTAAAGAATATTTTTCAAGGGCCAAATTTGTTTTGGATTTATTAAAGAATATTTTTCAAGGGCCAACTGACGGTCTGGATTTATTAAAGAATATTTTTCAAGGGCCAACTGAGGCGTGGATTTATTAAAGAATATTTTTCAAGGGCCAACTGATATGGTCGTGGATTTATTAAAGTAGTTTGTAAGGTTGTTTGGCTGTGTTTGCATAACAGGTTGTGTTGTGTTAAGGGCCATAGTGGTTGTTGGATTTATTAAAGAATATTTTTCAAGGGCCAACTGAGGCGTGGATTTATTAAAGAATATTTTTCAAGGGCCAACTGAGGCGTGGATTTATTAAAAAATATTTTTCAAGGGCCAACTGAGGCGTGGATTTATTAAAGAATATTTTTCAAGGGCCAACTGAGGCGTGGATTTATTAAAGAATATTTTTAAAGGGCCAACTGAGGCGTGGATTTATTAAAGAATATTTTTCAAGGGCCAACTGAGGCGTGGATTTATTAAAGAAAATTTTTAAAGGGCCAACTGAGGCGTGGATTTAAAAAAATAAAAATAATTAAAAAAATAATTTAATAAATAAAAAAATTCGAGGAAATATTAAAGAAAATTTTTCAAGGGCCAACTGAGGCGTGGATTTATTAAAGAATATTTTTCAAGGGCCAACTGAGGCGTGGATTTATTAAAAAATATTTTTCAAGGGCCAACTGAGGCGTGGATTTATTAAAAAATATTTTTCAAGGGCCAACTGAGGCGTGGATTTATCAAGGCCTGGATTTATTAAAGAATATTTTTCAAGGGCCAACTGAGGCCTGGATTTATTAAAGAATATTTTTCAAGGGCCAACTGAGGCCTGGATTTATTAAAAACACTTTGTCAGGACTCTATAGAGGCCTGGATTTATTAAAAACACTTTGTCAGGGCTCTATAGAGGCCTGAAATTATTAAAAATGTTTTCTCAGGGCTCTATAGAGGCCTGGATTTATTAAAAACACTTTGTCAGGGCTCTATAGAGGCCTAGATTTATTAAAAGTGTTTTGTCAGGGCTCTATAGAGGCCTGGATTAATTAAAAATATTTTGTCAGGGCTGTACAGAGACCTGGATTTATCTGGGCTCTATAGAGGCCTGGATTTGTCAGGGCTCTATAGAGACCAGGATTTATTAAAAATACTTTGTCAGGGCTCTATAGAGGCCTGGATTTATTAAAAATATTATGTCAGGGCTCCAAAAGAAGCCTGGATTTATTAAAAATGAATTTTCAAGGCTCCAACAGAGGGGTGGATTTATTAAAATTTTTTTAAAATATTTTTTTTTCAATATTTTTTAAAATATTTTTTCAATACTTTAGTTAATTAAAAATTCCTCTTCTTCTTTTTTCCAGAAAATCTCCTGCAGAACAGCTACAGCAATGGCAGCATTAGTGGTAGTACAACAGGCAGTGAAACGGGTGGTGGAACAAATTCCAGCAACCATATCGAACAAGATGATCCGGGGGATGGTTTGGGTCCGCTGCCACCCAAATGGGAGACGGCCTACACAGAAAGAGGAGAACTATATTTTATAGAGTAAGTTCACCCCACAACAACAACTACAACAAATTGTAAAGCCTTTTCTAATTTTCCTCTTTTTCTGTTCTTCCCCTTTAGTCACAATACCGGCACTTCACATTGGCTGGATCCCCGATTATCGAAATTCCAAAAGAAATCTCTGGAAGAATGTACGGAAGGTGAACTGCCCTATGGTTGGGAGAAAATAGAAGATTCGCTATATGGCACCTATTACATAGATCATGTTAATCGGAAGACACAATATGAAAATCCCGTCTTGGAGGCGAAGCGACGGGCAGCAGAACAAAAACAAAATCAACAACAACAGCAGCAGCATCAACAGGCGGCGGCACAGGCCCAAGCTCAACATCAACAACAGCAGCATCAGCAGCAACAACAACAACATCAATTACAACGTCCCCAAACCCCTTCCTCGTCGAGTGTTTTAAATGGCACGGGTGCTAGTATTGGCCTGAGTTCCGTATCCTCCGCATCCACTCTGTCCACCGTGGATATATCACAACGTGCTATGCAACCACCACCACCGATGGCCCAAGAACCACCCAACCACAAAGGAATGTTACCTTACAAATTTACCCGAAATCCAGCGGAGATGCAGGGTATGCGAATAACCACAACGTTGTTAAAATCGGCCCGTGGCTTAGGCATAACTATTGTCGGTGGTGACGGTGATGGTGTCGAGGAATTTCTACAAATCAAATCCATTGTACCCAATGGTCCAGCATGGCTCGATGGCCAACTGCAAATGGGTGATGTCCTGGTCTATGTCAATGATACCTGTGTTTTGGGTTTTAGTCATCATGAAATGGTGAGTTTGGACAGGTAGTGAGAGATGATCTCTGGAACTTCTTTGAATTTTGAACTACATTATAAGGTATAGAAAATATTCCGTTTGCAATACCTCGAAAGGCCCATCGGAGATCCCATTAAGTGTCATGTATATACTTGATCGAAAAAATTCGCTCTCCTGTCTTTTAAAATCCCGTTAGAGATCGCAAATATTTTAGATAGAGCTTTGAAATTTTACACATAATTTACTGCTACGTCTAGGATGTTTGGTATGGAAAATCAGAAATATTGGACCATATTTTGGTGTAGGCCCCATAAAGCGGTAGCTGTCCATTCTCGATATTTTGAAGGTTTTAACTGAATTTTCCCATCCGAAAGGGGATTGTAATTTTGCTTTTCAGGTTATTTGCAGACAATTTTCAATATAGTCCATTTTTGAACTATGTCCCTATTTTAGGGTCCCGAACCATTTTCGGAATTTTAGATTTTAGCCATATTTCTAAAAGAAATCACTGTAATTTGGAAATTCAGGAGGTTCTTGATGGGTAAAAAACTCCTTTGCCAAAAATTGGCAGTACAGGTCAATTTTTTAAAATACCCCATATAAGGGTCCCGTCCAATTATAAGTATTTGATGATCATAGGCGAATTTTCCTCACCACTGAGGCTGTGATTTGTCATTTCAGGCTATTGGTTGGTGAAAAACTTCTATTCCGAAAATACCTAAAATCGAACCAACCGATTTTAGGTATTTTAATGGTCGTAGGCGAATTTTCCCAACCACTGAGGCTATGATTTCAGGTTCTTGGTTTGTGAAAAACTTATTTTTCGAAAAGTTCGGAACCTTTCGAACCAACCGATTTTAGGTATTTTGGTGGCATTAGCGGATTTTCCAATCAAAATGGATGTACATTTTAAATTTCGGCTTTTGGGAGGGTAAAAAACGTATTCACAGAAAATTTTCGGAACAGGTCCAAGTTTTATCATATCCCGCATTTCATGTTCCCACCTCTTTTGTATTATTTGGATGATCCTAAGCAAATTTTTGAAACGAAGTGGCTGCAATTTAACATTCCGTGGCCTTGGTCGGTAAAAAACTTCCTGTCAGAAAAGTTCGGAACCTTTAGAACCGACCAATTTTTAGTATTTTGAAGGTTCTAGGTTCATTTCTCCAACCGAAGTGGGCTGTAATTTGGCATTGGGAGGTCTTGAAAAACTTCTTCGTAGAAAAATGTCGGCATAGGTCCAAGTTTTACACAACCGCAATTTAAAGGTCCCGTCTCAATTTAATTATTTGGATGGTTCTAGAGTATTTTTTTCATCCGAAGTGGTTGTGATTTAGCCGAATTTTCCAACCTGTGTATCTGTAACTTCGTATTCCATTTTCTCAGATATTCCGAAAAATTTTAGGTATTTTGTATGTTCTGTTAATGATGGAGGTTATAATAAGTTCGTCCCTGCCAATCTTAACATGGGTTTAACTAGTTTTAATTCCTTTTTCTTCTTCCTTTTAGGTCAACATCTTCCAATCTATTATGGTCGGTGATACGGTCACCTTGGAGGTTTGCCGCGGTTATCCTCTGCCATTTGACCCCAATGACCCGAACACGGAGGTGGTGACGACCATTGCCGTCGATGGTCTGAGTAATGAACCGGAAAAACAACGACGCATGCTAATGGATCTGAATATGGATGGGAATTATAACTTCTTGGATATATCGGCGGCAAGCAGTAATGGAGGTGGTGGTCCTGGAAATAAACACAATCTAAGTTCAAGCAGTGGTAGTGGTAGTGCCGGTGGCACTTTGGATAACAGCGGATTTATTCTGATGAAAAAACCCGAGGTCCATACATTCTCGATTATCAAAGGAGCCATGGGTTTCGGCTTCACCATTGCCGATTCTTCATATGGTCAGAAAGTGAAAAAGATTTTGGATCGTTCGTGTTGTCGTGAGCTGCAGGAAGGGGATATCCTGCTGGAAATTAATGAACATATGGTGCGGAATAAGTCACATCAAGATGTGGTGCAAATTCTGAAGGAATGTTCGAAAACCGAACCGACAATTGTAAAAATACAACGGCCGATAAATTCGGTGAGCGCCACTTCGCCCAGTAGCAATGCGAACAATGTTTCGAAGTTGCGAAAGAATTTCCTTGGAGGCACTACGAGTATTGGCAATAATGCTCTGTTCCGTAGTAAAACCCCCACGGCGGATTTATATAGTACCATGCAAAAGGAAATATTGCCAATACGACCGAAGACTCCTCTGGTCGATACACGAAGGGCCCGGGTAAAGACACCCAATATGGAACTGAATGAAGATAATGAAGTGGCGGAGGTGAATAATAAATCGCAGGACAATGACTCCTTGGAGAGTTCTTTGGCTGAAAGTAAATCTCATCTAAATGAGGGTAGTAAATCGCAGAATTCCCTCTCCGAACTGGATGCCATTAATCATGATATACCACCCTTTATGGACCCCTATCCGAAAATGGTAACCAGCCTGAGTGAGCGTTTGGCCAGCGTAACCATGCAAAACGATAATGGTTTGCAGCAGGTGCAACAACAGCATGGTCACGGCCATGGTTTGGGAGGTGGTATGGCACCTCCAACGGGCTACCTGCGAACCACTGCCTCCGGTGTGGCCAATTATGAAAACCAAAGCGATTATGTTAGTGGTGGTAGTGGCAACTATAGCTCGATTTATGGCCTCTCACAAATGCCACCCACCATGAGCCCACTGAGTGGGGCTTTATATGGTCCTTCGGCGGGAATTTCACCAGGTGGTGGGGGTGGTTTATTAGCCCCTGGTTCCAACAATTATCACCATCATCATGAATCCTGTTTCTGCTACGAGTGTCAGGATTTTCGCAGTGGACGCCTCCAGCAATTACATTCCTCGGCCCAACAACCCTCACCGCGTAGCTATTATCCACCCACAAACTACGTGGGACAACAAGGTATGCCGCCGCCCAGTCAATATTCTCCCGCCTCCTCAGCCAGTCTCCAAGCCGCCCACATACAAAATGAACGTATGCAGAAGCGAGTAAATGAGCTGTTAAATGATCGAAGGCGGGTGGGTTTCTCACCGCTGGAGCATCAACATCATCATCCACATAATACAGGAGTGGGTGTGGCGACGAGTTATTCTCCCTCAGCACAGCCTCATTCGACAGTCTCCAACATGATGATGACGGGACATCATAATCAACAACATAATAATTGGGGAAACAGCAATCCGACGGGTTATAATCCATCGGAGTTTAACCCGCAACATCACAATGGTGGTGGTGGCGGCTATCCCATATCATCGGATATTATAGATGGTTCAGGGGAACAATGTGTCCTCTCTGAAGTCACATTGCAACGTCAAGCATTGGGTTTTGGTTTTAGAATTGTTGGTGGCACCGAAGAAGGTTCCCAAGTGACCGTGGGCCACATTGTACCTGGCGGAGCGGCCGATAATGATCATCGCATAACAACAGGGGATGAGATCCTGAGCATTGATGGTATTAATGTGGTAAGTGGAGGATAATTGTCCCCCAAAAGAAAAACCGATTCTAAATTTCAGGGTTCCTCTTTTGACACTTTTCGAAATTTTGACCCCCCTTCACGTTTTCTTTTCAATCAGGCCAAACGATATTGAATGGATAAAATCGAAATTGTAAAAATTGGATATTTGGCATAACTAAAATTAATAATAATTTAAAAAATCGGATATTGGATAAGGAATATAAGGTGTGGATAAAATTCAAAAACTTTGGATAAAAAAAATAAAGGTGTGGATATTTTTTTTTTTTAATTTTTGGAATTATTCTAAATTAATCAATAATTTTGCATCAATTTTGAATACGTTGGTTAAAATTTTCAAAACTAACGGATAATATTTTAACAACAACTAAATGTTGCGGATAACAAATAAAATATTAACATAAATGATGCGGATAAAAATTTGGATAAAAAAATCGGTCACCACGAAGCTGTGGATAACATTTTAAAAACAAAAATTGGGCTGGGATAAAAATTCAACAGGTTATTGAGGTGCGATAATGCCCTAAACGGTTAATTTTAGATGCGGATTATATTCTAAATTCATATTTTTCGGCGTGGATAATATCCTGAGTGATTATTTGAGATGCTGATAAAATATTATAGACGCGGATAATATTCCGAGTGATTATTTTAGGTGCGGATAAAATATTATAGACGCGGATAATATTCTAAATACGTATTTTAGGTGCGGATAATATTCTGAGTGATTATTTTAGATGCGGATAAAATGTTATAGACGCGGATAATATTCTAAGTAATTATTTTAGGTGCGGATAAAATATTATAGACGCGGATAATATTCTAAATTCATATTTTAGGTGCGGATAATATTCTGAGTGATTATTTTAGGTGCGGATAAAATATTATAGACGCGGATAATATTCTAAATTCATATTTAATGTGCGGATATTATTGTGATTATTTTAGGTGCGGATGACATATTTCAGACGCGGATAATATTCTAAATACGTTTTTTAGGTGCGGATAATATTCTGAGTGATTATTTTAGGTGCGGATAAAATATTATAGACGCGGATAATATTCTAAGTGATTATTTTAGGTGCGGATAATATTATAAATCCATATTTTAGGTTCGGATAATATTCTGAGTGATTAGTTTAGATGCGTATAAAATATTATAGAGGTGGATAATATTCTAAATTCATATTTTTAGGCGCGGATAATATTCTGAGTGATCATTTTAGGTGCGGATAAAATATTATTGGCGTGAATAATATTCTATATTAAAATTTTAGTCGTGGATAAAATATTATTGGCGCGTATAATATTCTGAACGGATTTTTTAGGTGCGGATAAAATATTCTTGGTTCGGATAATATTCTAATTGGTAATTTTTCGGCACGGATAAAATACTACAGACATGGATAATATTCTAAACGGATTTTTTAAGTGCGGATAAATTATTGTAGCCTTGGATAATGCTCTAAGCAATAATTTTCTGCGCGGATAAAATAATATATATGCGTGGATAATATTCTAAATGAATTATTTTTCATCACGGATAAACTATTTTAAGACAGGATAATATTGAACATTTGAATTGCGGATACAATTTTACAGAAAAGGATAATATGCTTAAGGTCAATCTTAGGAGCGGTTAATATTATAATCGTTTATTTCAGACGCGGATAAAAATCAAAACCCCCCTAGGATAGTAGTATAATCTCTAATTTATGTTCGGATAATATCTACCTAACCCCACCTTTTTTCTTATAGATTTAAATCCTTTCCTTGCTAAAAGAACCGATGAATATTTGTCTTCAGACCCATACTAAAGGGGATGTGGTCCCTTTACAATACGAAAAAAACAAATTGATTCTTTTTTTCCATGATCTGCAAAGGTCAAATTTTTGCCTTCAGTTCCATACAGTTTAATACAAGGGCAGTTCGGAAAGTTCTTAGCCTAGCACAAAAAGCGCTATATAAACAGAAAAAAGTTAAGTGTTTTGGAAACTTCCATATCTGTTATGAACACATGTTAAATTTTGTTTCGATCTGGCAACCCCTTTTTATAAAAACAGGTGTTCAAAAAAGACGCATCCGCAATTTTTTTACAATGAAATTCAACATAACCTTTTTCTTCCTTTTTATTCTACTCCCAACAGGGATTATTTTTTATGCTCTTAAAATTCAATCTAACCTCACTTTTTTCTTGGGGAACCAATTTTTTCTCGCAACATTTGATTCCAGTTCCATAGGGAAACTTTTTATAATGATTTTTAAATTCAACCTAACCCTCAAATGAATGTTATTTTTTAACAGATCCGAAGGAATTTAGATTTTCAGTGTCAAAGGGAATATTTTGTTATACATTTTAAAATTCAATCTAACCTCACTTTTTAAATGACTGTTCTTTTCTCTAACATAACCGATTAAATTTAAATTCTAGTCCCAAAGGTACAATTTTTTAATACATTTTATAATTCAATCTAACCTCATTTTTTCAACTTAATCCTCAAATGAATGTTCTTTTGTCTAACAGAACCGATGGAATTTAAATTCCAGTCCAAAAGGACTAATTTTCACATTTTTTAAATTCAACCTAACCCCATTTTTGTATTTCTGAAACAATTTTTTTTCCTAACAGAATCTATGAAATTGAAATTTCAATCCCAAAGGGACAAATGTTCAATAGATTTTAAAATTCAACCTAACCCAATTTGTATTCTCCTTGAACCAAAAATTAATTTTCTTTCCCCCTAAATTTCAGGTTAATGCCTCACATCACAAGGTGGTCTCTCTAATGGGTGAGGCAGCATTACGTGGTCAGGTGACAATGATTTTGCGGAGACGGACGGGCCATAATAGGCCGCCACCAATGCAACAGCAACAACAAACCCCTCTTCATCAACACTCAGTGCCCTCCCACCATCAAATGCCAATGATGTTTCAACAGCCCCTAATGCAAGATTATCCTCCCCCGAGCCATCAGCAGCAGCAGCCACATCCACAACAACTCCAGCAACACCAAATGCCGCTACATTTACGAAATCACTCCGGGGGAGTGACATCGACGGGTGCTCCATTACGTTATCCCTATGATGTGATTGTGACTCGACACGAAAATGAGGGCTTCGGTTTTGTGATTATATCATCGTCCAATCAATATTATGGGTCGACGATAGGTAAGTGGATTTTGGAATTTTTGGAGAATTTTTATTTATTTCTTCTTTTTTTGTTTTCTTTAGGCAAACTAATACCCGGCAGCCCTGCCGATCGTTGTGGTGAGCTAAAGGTTGGCGATCGCATAATAGCCGTTAATCGCATTGACATTGCCGGCATGTCCCATGGCGATGTGGTAAATCTAATCAAAGAATCTGGTCTACATGTACGCCTGACAATTGGCTGCCCAAAGGAGGGGGCAATCATTAATGCCGCACCCACAATGCCAGCTGGTAGCAATACCACCAGCATGCCTGGTGGTTTGCTAATAAATTCCGCCCAAGCTTCACCGGGTCAGGTGTCACAAACACCACCAGGTGGTGCTCCAACATTACAATTGTCCGCCACCAATAATGACAACAATATTACACCCTATTTTGAAAGACCGTTACTAAGTGCTGGATCCAATAATGGTTCGACGGCATCTTCAACGACCCATATGTCATCAGCAGCTCAACAGTCACCAATTACCACTCTGCCACCACAATTATGACTCTGAGAATTACGAATAAAACTCTTAAAGAGTTTTCTTTAGTAATAGGTCCAAGGAAATCAATCCCCCCTCCAAAAAAATAAAACCCACCAAATCCGCCCTCGAGACCCTTACCTTAGCATTGATGTTTGAAAGCAGAGGGGTTAGATAGAGGGGTCTATGATTCGAAACGAGTCTTACTCGACCAATGTCTAAATGTCGGTCCAACAAGCCTCGTCATCGGCCCCACCCCTAAAAATTATTCCAATATTTGTTTTAATTTTTTTTATAATGCACAATGTTTAAATTTTTTGTATATAGACTATAAGAATTGTTATAAAAACTGTTATAAAATATTATTAAGGATTTAAAAATACAACAACAACAAAACATTTGCCACACATACGAGGGCTGTTCGGAAAGTTCTTAGCCTAGCACAAAAAGCGTGGTATAAACAGAAAAAATTGAAGTGTTTCGGAAACTTCCATCTCTGGTTATGAACACATGTTAACAGAAACAGGTATTCAAAAAAGAAACGCCAGTTCGTCCTCGGACGGCTCACAAGAAAGACGTGACCTAAAAAAGTTTAAATGAGTATTATACGCCCACGGGCTTAAAAATAGATTTTTACAAAATGGCGGTTGTTAAGCGTTCGCTTAACTAACACGTGTGTTTTCAAATACGGATAACCTATAAAGTCCGAGTCGTTCAACAGAATCCAAACAGCTGGGCATGTAATTTTTAGATTTCGTAAACAAGAAGATGCTTCCCGCAACTATGTGACTCCTTCACAGTAGAAGAGTTCACTGATACACAAGGCTTAGAAAGTCTGAACATTGTGGTCAAATTCTTAAAGAAGATCGAAGTCAACCTGTAAAACACAAACCACCATCTATGGATAAAGTCAAATTCGTAGCTTAAGCTACATATGGATACATGGCTCTGAACATTCTAACACCAAATAGGACGTGAGCCAAGGAGGAGAGGAGTTAATTGAAAAAAAAAGAAACGCATCCGTCTATTTCCCTATTTTTATACCCTTCACAGGGATTATGTCTTTGTGCATATGTTTGTAACAGGCAAAAAGAATTGAGATAGACCCATGGTTTTGAGAATATGCATGGAATCACCTTCTGAGTCGATTTATGCATGTCCTTCCATCTGTCCATCTGTAGATGTTAAATTTAAACAAAGTACAGGTCGCATTTATGATCCGATTTGGATGAAATTTGGCACAGGTCACTTATTTGGCCCAATGACGAACCTTATTGAAATTGAAGAAAAACAGGTCAGATTAAGATATAGCTCCCATATATATTTTCGTCCGATTTAAGGTAAATGGAGCAGCAATGTCGCTATATAACATTCGATTTACACGAAATTTGACATAGGGTACTGAATTAGATCGAGAAGGATATGTGCTAAGTTTCGTGAAAATCGATTTAGATATAGCTCCCATATATAGTTTCGTCCGATTTTATTTCAATGGTGCACCAAAGTCCCTATATATCTTTCGATTTACACGAAATTTGGCATAGGGTACTGAATTGGGTCCAGAATGATGTGTGCTAAGTTTCGTAAAAATCGGTTCAGTTTTATATATAGCTCCCGTATATAATTATGACCGATTTTATGAAAATGGCGCACCAAAGTCCCTATATAACTTTCGAATTGAACGAAATTTTGCATAGTGTACTGTATTGAGTCTTGAATGACGTTAATTTTTTAATCCAGTCTCAAAAGTAGATAATTTTTTTTATAAATTCTTAAAATTCAAAATCAACATAACCCTACTTTTTTGTTAAGAATTTAAATTTGTGGAACCAATTTTTTTCTGGCAACATTTGACTTCAGTTCTAAAGGGAACAAAACACTTAACTTTTTTCTGTTTATACTGCACTTTTTGTGTGCTAGGCCAAGAACTTTCCGAACTGCCCTCGTAACTTACATATATACATAGATAGACCTTTATTTCCCTTATCCAAAGACTGATGACTCTTATAATTATTTTTAAATGTATTTTTTTTGTTTGTTTATTTTGACACGAATATTATTATGACCTTCAGAAAAAGCCTATACCATATTATATACACTGTACACATATATATTTATATATACACAAAAATGATACATATCTACTTTTAGATATAAAAATATAAATAAATTTAAATTAAAATTAAGAAAGACAGTAAATTAAAAATAAAAAAATAATATTAAAAACAATAACAAATAAAATATTAAAAGAATAATATTAAAAAATATAAAAATGTAAAAATTAAATTGAAAATAATAAATTACAAAAAATTAATATTCAATATAAAAATAAAAAGAATAATAAATAAATTAAAAAAATCAAATTAAAATTAAAAAAAAAATATTTGTTACTGTAAAATTGAAAACCCCAATAAAAATTCGGGGGAGTTACTACAACGATGCCTATTATGTACCTCTACAATATTGTGGCGAAAAATAAAAAGAGTTACAAAATAGTGGTACAAGCCGTAGAAGTTTTTGCTGTTACTTGGAGTTTGAGCTAGTAACTCTCTCTCTAATTTCTTTAAATTTAAATTTTACAAAAGCAAATATCACACGAACTATTTTACAGCATATCATTAATTATAACTAGGTTAGCTTTAAAGTTAACCTATAATTATAATTGCAAAATAAATAAAAACAATTACAAATCTTGCTTATAGACATTTTATTATTAATTATAATTGAAAATAAATAAAAAATAAAAACCAATAAATAATAATAAAATAAAAACAAATTTGCTTATATATTTTATATGTATATCTTGTTAGTTATTTAATAGTTTATTATTATATATAAAATAAAAATAATTCATTATTATCTTATAAGTGTTATATTTAATAATTTTCTTATACACACTATCTCTCTTTAACACTATATCTCTCTCTCCCAAATTGCCTTGTATATTGTATTGAAAACTATAACGAACGAATGAAAAAATGTTATTACAAACCAATTTTTAAATATATAAATATATTGATTAGTTTTAATTAATATTAATTATTATATTATTACAATTTTACTTATATATACATACACATATGATGTAGTATACACACACAAATCTATATATTTACGAAAAAATAAATTATATAAAATATTTAAAAAAATATATATTAATTTTGAGTGGTGTTGTCTATAACCTTCACAGGGGTAAAGGGTGGGTATTGTGTCTTTAAGCATATTTGTATGTAACAAGCAAAAACAAAAGGAGATAGACCCATGGTTACATTTGAGAATGTGCATAGAAACACTATCTGAGTCGATTTATGGATGTCCTTCCTAACATAATCGATGGAATTTTTTTAGTCCCAAATGGACTATTTTTTAATATATTCATTCATATATAATCTAATCTCACTTTTTCACCCTAACAGAATCGAGGGAATTTAAACTTAAAGGGGACGGAATTTAAATTTCAGACCAAAGGGAAAAATTTTCACTATTTTATAGCCTACACACCTATGTTGTCCGGGGTGTTATAGCTTTGTGCAGCCCCATAAGTTTGTAACGCCGTGAAATATTGGTCCTAGACCCAACTTTTAGTATACCGAACGTCATATCTCGACTTCCTTACTTGTGACAGAACTTTCGTTCCATAAGCCGAGCTTAGAAAAGATTTCCAGACGCGTCGGTCTTTTGCGCAGTTTTTCCAATTTTGAAGACCATGTTCGGCAATGTTGTCTTCGACTTGATCTTTCCATCGTATTCGTGGCCTTTCCCTTCTGCGTGAACCATCAGCTGGTTCGTTTATATATGCCTTCTGGGCTGGGGCATCTTCATCCATTCTCACAACATGACCTAGCCAACGTAGTCGCTGCAGCTCAATACGTCTAACAATGTCGATGTCCGAGAATAGCTGGTGCAACTCATGGTTCATTCGACGGCGATATTCACCGCAGATCGGTCCATAGATCTTTTGGAGAGTTTTTCTCTCAAACACTCCAAGAGCTGCTTCATCTGGTTGCGTAAGTACCCATGCATCAGATCCGTATAACAGCACGGGTAGTATAAGCGTCTTGTAGAGTGTGTGTTTGGTCTGGCGGGAGGTGGCCTTGCTTTTGAGTTGTTTGCTCAGACCATAGCATCGGTTGGCCATCACTATCCTTCTCCGAATTTCAAAACAGATGTCATTCGTTTTATTTATGGCGGTACCAAGGTATATAAAATCTTTGACTACCTCGAAGCTGCAGTTCTCAAGTTCCACAGTTGGTCCGAGTCTACTGGATGTCTTGCGCGTTGATACCATCAGCTTGGTCTTCTCGCCGTTTACTGTCAGACCCAGATTCCTTCTAAATTTGTTCAAATGTTCGACCCATTATGACCATGTCATATCTCGACCAGCTGAGTCGATTTAGACATGTGTGTCCGTCTGTCCATTATAATTTGTAAACACAATACAGGCCACAGTTATGGACCAATCTTCACGAAATTTTGCATGTAGGATGGGTTCTGGACAATGAAGATTCCTATTGTTTTTGGTAAAGATCGGTTAATATTTAGGGGATGAAATGGACCAAAAACTTTATTTTTCGGTTTTTCTGGTCGCTCCAGAGGTTTAAACATCGCGAATTTTTACATGGAGAAGGAGATCGGGACAAAGAATAAGCATGCCTGTTTTGATAAAGATCGGTGAATATTTAGGGGGTCAAATGGACCCTGACTTTTGTGTGAAAAATGACCAAATTTGTATACTATGGCGTACATATATATTTATTCCTGAAGCACATAGACCGGAGAAGTTGATAGTATATCCAAGAGGAGTAGTTGACCTTCAAATTGGTACCAGTTATATTGTCGTATGTACTCGGATGTGGGAGTTACACATAAATATTTACAGGTGCCTACGTACTCAGATAATATTTAACAACCCATTGCCACACTAGAGGATGGAAATATAGCGCTGATCCCTTTTTAATTTTCATGAAGTTCCAGTTATGTTCAAGGACAGCGCCCAGAACTTTCGGTGATGATCAGATTGTAATTATGGGATGAAGTGGACCGAATACTTAATTTGTTTGTTTTTTTTTCGAGTCGATGCCAATAATAGGTTGAACATCACAACACAACCCACGGTGAAGGGAATCTGGACAATTAATTAGAAGGGCTGTACTGAATATGAATGGTAATATTCGGAAAATATGTCAGAGTAAGGAAGAGGTGCTGTTGACCTCTAATCGGGAGCAAATATCAGGAACTATTGCCCAGGCTCGGAATAAACATCCGCCGAAAGTTAGAGTTCCGTGGTAGTTGTGTAGGGTATCGTATGGTCGGCCATGTCCGACTATACTGCTCCGCTCACTGGTTTTCTTCTGCAACCATTTTTTTTTTTTTGGTTCCTAACAGAATCGATGGAAATTTTTAATACCAAAAAAAAAAGGCAAACGATTGTTCAATTTACACGAAATTTGGTAGAGTGCGTTGAATTAAGTCTAGAATGATGTGTGTTAGGTTTTGTTGAAATCGATTCAAATTTAGATACTGCTCCCATATAGAAATTCGACCGATTTGGAGTAAATGTTACACCAAAGAGCCTATGTTTGTTCGATTTACACGAGATTTAGCAGAGTGTATTAAATTGTGGCCAGAACGACGTATCCTGTTCTTGATCGGCCATGTTTCAGAGTCATTTAGTACTGAAATTTTTGAGCAAGGGCCAACAGAAAGGCTTTAAGATTTTTATGAACCAAAAAATTGGCCTACATTAAAAAAATCGAGTTAAATTTTGATGAGAAAAAATTTCCGAACTTCAATTCCCATTTAAAATTTAACAGCCCTCAAAATGGGCAGCACTAAACATTTACTCCTTACAAATACAACTATGCCATCCTTATCCTTATTGACACATCCTCTGGCATAAACAAAGCCATTTGAAGTTTATTTACATACCATCCTCACCACACCACAGCCCACAAAAACACCCACAACAGAAAAACATCAAAATCACAACATCATTCAAGCTTTACAAAATTCAGAGATTTATTTCAAAGCCATGAAAAAAAATATCAGAAATAAAAATACACAATACCATGAGAATTGTCAGTGTAAATAGACTGTAGAAAAGAAATCAAATGAATTTTATTATTATTATTAAACTAAGAAAAGAAAATGCAGAGCAACATTAGCAGGACGAGGACAACTAATGCTACTGCTTCCTTCAACGCCATCGCCATCATCCGCACGGCCACTAATGCTATTTTCGTCCATTGTTGTTGGGGTTTTTATATTGGCTTAATCTTAAAGTGTAAACCGATGAGTGAAAAAACTAAACATTTAAGATCCTGTACCAAATAGTAGAAACATCTCAGACCTTCCGGATCTTTGGAACGATTGACATCGACTAGTGAACCGGTTTTGGAGGTAGTAAATGAGATGTGTTCATCGCCAATGACAATTTCCAATTCCTATAACGAAAAAAAGATACCAATTGAAAATAATTTGCAATAGTTTGTGCTGCTCTACATACCTGACGACCAACACGATCTGGTGGCGGCCAGGGTGAATCATCCTCAGCCATAATCTCTGAATCTAAAATGATACGCTTCAACTCCTCCATAACTGCCTGATGGACAAATGCCTCCTTGCGGATCATGGTATCGTTTTTGTAGTTGGAATTGTTGGCATAGCGTAACTTGCCATCGGGACGAAACTCAAATTCCAAAAACTCGTGGCCAAATTTACCCTTGTGACCGACATAATAACGTAAGTAGAAATCTTCTGTAGACATTGTTGTGTTTGTTTCTTTTGGCTATTCTGAAAATATTAAATAATTTTATTGTAATTTATTATATTTTTTATTGCTAGTTTATTTAATTTTCTTTACTCTGTGGTTTCGCGTTAGTTTTGTGGTGCCGCAAACACAGCACTTTCACAGAAATGTCAAAATTAGGGATAGTAAATCGACTAATTGATTAATCGATTAACACGAGTAATCGACTTTTTTGTGTAGGATGCCAGGGTTGTATACGGAGAGTGCAAAGCGTTGATAAACAAGAGAAAGTGATGCCAAGTTGTGATTGATGGCAGAATGACAACATAGGCAAATGAATTCAATAACGGCGTTTAGCGGCTGGACGTTTTTGTGACGGGAAAATGAAGGATGCATTTTATTGATTTGCGTGGAATATTCTATAAAACCCGAAGAATTTTTAAAGAATATTTTCCCCAAAAATCATAGCATCCCTAAGAGTGAATTTTTAGGGATTATATTTAGAAAAATTGCTGCATCCCTAAGTGTGGATTTTGTAACAATATTTTCCGTTACAAAATCAGTTTTGTAAAGAATAGTTTCCCCAAAAATTATAGTATCACTAAACTTAGATTTTTATAGAATATTTTTCCCAAAAATTATAGCATCCCTAGTCGAGGATTTTTTAAAGAATATTTTCCCCAAAATTTATAGCAATTATAACCGTGGATTTTTTTAAAGGCAATTTTTAGAAAAATGATAGCATCCCTCAGTGTAAATTTTTTAAAAAATATTTTTACAAAAATTATTGCATCTCTAAGTGTTGATTTTAAATGAATATTTTGACAAAAAAATATAGCATCCCTAAGTGTTGATTTTTTAAAGAATATTTCCTCCAAAAATTATAACATCCCTAAGCGTGCATTTTGTAAAGAATAGTTTCCCCAAAAATTATAGTATCCCTAAGCTTAGATTTTTAAAGAATATTTTCCCAAACATTATAGCATCCCTAGTTGACGATTTTTTTAAAGAATATATTCCCCAAAATTTATAGCAATTATAGCCGTGAATTTTTTAAATTACATTTTTAGTAAAATTATAGCATCCCTATGTGTAGATTTTTTAAAGAATATTTTTACAAAAATTATAGCATACCTAAGTGTGCATTTTGTAAAAAATAGTTTCCCCAAAAATTATAGTATCAATAATCTTAGATTTTTAAAGAATATTTTTCCCCAAAATTATAGCATCCCTAGTCAAGGATTTTTTAAAGAATATTTCCCCCAAAATGTATAGCAATTATAACCGTGGATTTTTTAAAGGAAATTTTTAGAAAAATTATAATATCCCTAAGTGTTGATTTTTTACAGAATAATTTTACAAAAATTATAGCATCCCTAAGTGTGCATTTTGTAAAGAATAGTTTCCCCAAAAATTAAAGTAACCCTAAGCCTAGATTTTCAAAGTATATTTTTCCCAAAAATTATAGCAATTATGGCCGTGAATTTTTTAAATGTCAATTTTATAAAAATTGTAGCATCCTTATGTGTTGATTTTTTAAAGGACATTTTTACAAGATTTATAGCATTCCTCTACGTCAGAAATTTTTATTTCCGAATAATTGTCAGAAACAAAACCTTGAAAATTCTGTCACAAAATATTTAAGTTTTCCAAAAAGCTGCTTCAATTATATCCTCTGAAAAATGGTAAATTCTATAATGAAATCGAATTGAATTAATTCATCAGATATTCCTCAATTTCATCCTATAGCCCCACTTGGATGCCATTATAAAAGAAAATGCCAATAATACTGAACGTATTACCCGCAATACCCAAGGTTATGTGGTATCAAACAATAATCATGGTACAATAGCCGTATCCACCTATGATAATACCATATCTATGGGCATAATTAAATTGCTGTGCGGCACTTTGGTGAGTACGGCTCGCAGTGCGGTTCGTGATCTGGATTGTACCAATGATTTGACATTTTTACGAGTGGCCACAAAGAAATGTGAATATTTGATAGCACCCGAAGAAGAATTTACCATTGTGGTGGTGCAATAAAAAATTGTATTTTCCAATTTCACTATAATATTTTTATAAAAATATATATTTTGTACATAAGTTTTTTCTATTTGAAATAATGATCTTTGGCATTTTGTATAACCACCACCGTGATTTTACCATCTGGCACAATGAGAGATTCATTTTTAGTTGTACGTATTCTCAGCATGGTAATTTCATCATCGGGATCGATTTTCTGCAATCCCATAGTTGCCTTATCTCTCAAACTTTCATAGAGACCGGCAAATTGTATAGCTTCGGATTTTTCCATTGTGGTTTTTATGGGATTACCTTTGCTATTTAGGATCATAATATCTTTAATATCGGATTTTTCTTGAATTAAGCGATAGACCTCTTCCACATAGGCAATGGTACGTTTATTCTGTAATTGAAAGAAAATTAGTAAAATTATACATAATTAATAATTATATATTAATTATATACCGGATCCTTTTTATTAGCTGCCATATTTCTCGGAAATTTTTTATTTTCAATTTAAATGTATTAATTTTTTATATATTGTTCTTGTTTGTTATTATGACAACCCAATTGACATGTGGGTCACTGGAACATCCTTGCAAACAAAAAATTAGGAACCATAGCAACAACAAAAATCAACAGGTTTTATGCATTCTTATAATTAATATCGAACATATTATTCTACATAATATATTCATACTTTAATTTTTATATTTTACTTTATATTTTTGTATTTTTCCTTTAAATAATTCACTACAATTGTATTTGTATTATCAACTGTCATAGATTTGAAAGTATAGGACAATAATTACAGCTGGCAATGCCGTTCCATTCCACCCATTCCATTACTTCATGTGTTATCAATTCATAGTGAGTGCCATATCACAGCTTTCTCTTTTTCTCCTTCATTTTCGTGCTGCCAACGTCAACGCAATGGCATAGGGTTCTATAGTCTAAACATGAAATATAGTTAATGATTTTTCGATGTTTCTATAATAAATTTAGTGGATTTTTTTAGAATAATAATTTAAAAAAATTGTTGTTCTTTTATATATTTTGTTTATAGAGATAATATCAGATATCAATCTATCAAGATAAATTGTATATTTTTAAAGATTTTTTTTTTACAAATTTATAGGGTAAATTTTTAAAGAATGTTTTATTTACTTATTTATTTCTTTCAAAAATGCAATTTGAAGCCTCAAAGGCCGATTTTTTAAAAAAATTATACTAATTTTTAGCGTGGAATTTTTATTTTCCTAAAATTTATAATATCAATAAGCTTACATTTTTAATGAATAATTTCCCAACATTTGTAGCACTCCTAAGCGTGGATTTTTATACCCTGCCTGTGGAAAAGCAGACATAGTTGCTTTTCCACAGGCAGATTTTTATTTGGCAAATTTTTTGTTTTCTCTTTTGAAATTTTCGCTTGCTTTTCCATTACCAAATTTTTTTTTGCCAAATTTGCGAATCAAAGTACAAAAGAAAGAAAAAAACGTCAAAAGTGTTTGCATTTTAAAGATTTTTTTTAATATTTTATTTATTTTTTATATAATTTATTATATAAATTGCACATATTAAAAATTAAATTTCACTTGCACAAATTAAAACAACAGGTTTGTAAACAAAAGCCGGCTGTGTGTCAGTAAAGCGAATAGGTTCAAAAGGAAATGTCAACAAAATTGTTTTCAACGAACAGAGCAAAGCAGAATTTGCGTGTACGGCAAATTCTGAACAGGCAAATTTTTGTTTTTCTTCCTCGCACCCCTCTCGCCTACAAACTCAGTATTTGCCAAATAAAAATCTGCCTGTGGAAAAGCAGACTATGTTGTAAGGGTATTAAACGGCATATACATTAGAACTTTTTACCGGGTTTATGAGGATTTATTTGACATATATGCAAAGGAATTGACAATTGAAACCCGCTGGGTTAACGAAATCCGGTTAAATGTAAACGTACTATTATAGCTTTGTGCAGCCCCAAGGGTTTGTAACGCCGAAATATTGGTCCTAGACCCACCTTTAAGTATACCGATCGTCATATCTCGACTAGCTGAGTCGATCTAGGCACGTGTGTCCGTCCGTCTGTCCATTATATTTTGTAAACACGATACAGGCCACATTTATGGACCAATCTTCACCAAATTTTGCATGTAGGATGGGTTCTGGCCAATGAAGACCCCTTTTGTTTTTGGTAAAGATCGGTTAATATTTAGGGGATGAAATGCACCAAAAGCTTTATTTTTGTCTGATTTTCTGGTCGCTCCAATGACCGCAATTACAGCCCGAACATAGCGAATTTTTACATGGAGAAGGGTATCGGTGTAAAGAAAAAACATGTTTGTTTTGATAAAGGTCCCTCAATATTTAGTGGGTCAAATGGACCCTAACTTTTGTGTGAAAAATCACAAAATTTGTATTCTATGGCGTATATATTTACTCCTGAAGGACGTAGGCTTAAGAAGATGACAGTATATCCAAGAGGAGTGGTTGATACCAATTATATTGTCGTATGTACTCGGATGTGGGAGTTACACTTAAATATCTGCAGGTGCTTACGTATTCATATATTATTTAGTAACCCATTACCACACTAGAGGACGGAAATATAGCGCTGATCGCTTTTAAATTTTCCATGTGGATACAGGTATGGTCAAGGACAACGACTATAATTTTCGGTGGTGATCAGATAGAAAATATTGGGATGAATTGGTCCGAAAACATAATTTTTGTGTTTTTTCAAGTTGATCTATAGGCCACAATTGAACGGCGAACATCACAACACAACCGACGGTGAAAGTAATCTGGACAAGTAATTAGAAGGGCTGTACTGAATATTAGTAACATTTGTTGACCTCTAGTCGGCCAAGAGGGTGAAAATATCGTCAATGCTCAGAATATAGAACCACAGAAATTTAGATTTTCGTGGAAGTTGTGTAGGGTATCATATGTTCGGCCACGTCCGACTATACTGCTCCGCTCACTGGTTAAAGTATATTTTTC